TTCAATTCTAGTCTTTATTTAACGCAAGATACTATGTGGAATTGATTAATTAATTACTTTAAAAGTGATCAAACAACACTAATTAATTAATTAAAGTCCTTTTGAACAAAAAAAAAAGGTGATTTAACTAAGTGCTCGGGAATTTACCACTACTCTTTGCTAGATCTCCTTTTAGAACATTTATGAACAACTTCTTGTTGGGGATCCTCCACCGTAGTAACAAAGTATCGAAAGGGTGAGTGTTTAGGACAAGAGGGCTAGGTTGCAGAAGTTCACAAGTTATTTCGCTAGAGTTTTTAGGTTAATTTCTATATGTTGAAGCCTCGGTTTAAGCTGGTATTTATAGAGAAGGATTAGGTTTAGGGTTTCGAGCAATCTGCCGAAGCAGCTGTCGCGCGCAACAGATGAAGTTGCGCGTGGCATCCCAGCGCAAGTTATAGAGTTGCGCTGCTATGTGCATCGCGACTTTTTTTCCTTTGTGTGCGACTTTATGGCATACCAGCGCAAGTTATAGAGTTGCGCTGGGTGTCGCGAGCAGCTGAACTAGTTGCGCGCAGCAGCCCAGTGCGACTTTTTGAGATGCGCGCGGCTTTTTCTGTGGCAGCACTAAGTTTTAACCTAGGCATTCCTAAATCCGTCATTATTAGGGTTTAAGCATGGGCTTAAGCCTAATTATAATCGGTTTTAGTTAATTGGACCTTTGTTTTGACTTTTTCTTTAATTTGGGCTAGCCTTTTGTGTTTTGTGGCTTAACTAGATATCCATAAGTATTCTTCACTTTGATCCAACACGAAGATGACTTTATTTATCATCATTGCACTTCCTGTCGGGATAGGAGGCCAAAAGTAGACGTCTATAGTCACCGAACCGTACTTAACTCGTCGTTTGTAGTGGAATTAATTAACTATAGATAATCCATTCTTTACTAACCATACTCAATGGAATCAATCATATAGATAATCTCATGACCACCTGTGGGTTATGGGCCCACAAATAAACATACTCCTTAATGAGAATATTTAATAAATAATACAACTCCAGTCTTCCTTACTGTAATAAAATAATCAATCTAACTCAGCTCTCGATGATCCATAATACATAAGCCTTGATTCCATAATCCCTTTAGTAAATTCCTTTAATCCTTTTGCCTTTGATTAGCTTCAGCTCCGTCATCATTATCCCTGTAGTTATCCATAAAAATAGAAAACACAGAAAACTCAAGAAAATCCAAAAATGTGTTGAAAACTCAGTAACATTACTCTAGCCCGTTAAAACCGTTTTTTCTTTCAAAATCATTGGAGCATATATCATACATACATAGTTGATTAGAAATAATCTAATATCATTATTTTTTTTAAAAGTATGTCGGAAAGAAATATAGAATTACAGTATAATAAATGAAGTTTTAAAATCTCGGGTATTACAAGAACGTTCTGAATCATTCTTCGTCCCTATCGATACTTTGAGTTTTGTTTTCGAAACATACGTTTCCCCAAACTCAGTCAAAGTGGGGGTTTCTATACACTTCCAAATTTGTATCCCCAAATCCAAACCTAGAGATGAATATCTTTCACGTCATTTGATTATCGAACGAAGTGAAAGTGTGGAAAGTCTAGTGAAATGGATGTTTTTATTAAAGTATATCTCTATTTGTTTTTGAAAATATTTCTTCTTACACTCAATTTATGAAAATAGTGTAGTTGGATTGGGCTCAAAAAGAGCTTTCCAACGATATATTATAAGCCCAATTCTAATGAATAATGGGGAAGTGATGGATTAAATTAAATTTGGCCCAAAATAAATTTTATATGTGCCCAATGATATAGATGAGGGCCTATTAATTATTATTTCTAAAGTTATTAGGATTGATTTCAATAATCTAGAAGGTTCTTTTAAATTCTAATGAGATTGGGATTAATAATTATATTTGAAATGAGTATTATTTTGAATAAAATAAGTGATTTATCTCAAACGTGATTTTAATTTGATAAACGCAGGATTAGCTGCTTAATTGTATTAAGAAGAGGATTCCGCGCGCAAATCGCATTTGTTTTGTTTTCTTAGCGCATGACGACAAGTTTGTCACCAAGCGCTAATAGCTGTCGCCTGGCGCTAACTCCTGTCGTTGGCGACATGTGGTATTTTATTCTGAATGGGACTTGATTTGTTTTCGGATTATTTTTCTATAAATAAGGGTCGTATCTCCCTGTTTTTATTCATTCACAATAACCATTCACAACCATCATCGCTCTCTCTATTTTCTCTCTTTTAATCTAGAAGCTTATTCTCTCTCTATTGTTTTTATAACCCTTTCCTCTTAAAAAATTCCACGTTCACAAGTTCTAGACACACCTTGTTTTGGGTGTTTTTGTCCCTCGGGAGAGTTAAAACTCGAAAACTAGTTGAGGAGCGCCTGTACCTGCAAAATATTGCATAATCCGGGTGGTTGGAGCTCCGCCTTCGACGATCAATTTAGAACGTGCTAGAGTAGGTAATAAAAGACAAGGGTGAGATCTTTTCAGATTCCGAGATCAGGAGATTTCTCTGATGAAAGAGAATGTTAGTGATAGTGTAATAAAATCAATATTTCCCACAAATGGGATAAATCTCCGTATTTATAGGGTCATTTTGGATAAGTGTGCCCTTACGTAGGTCATTTGACCTAGATTTGGTGGGCTGCCCGCACTTTTAGCGGCTTTTTGGGAATTAGGCGTTTGAAGGTCGTCATTCCTTTTGATGACAGCGGGTTCCACGTGTCATTTCGTAAGTGGCCCAATTTAGGCCAATATAGGGTGAACACATGTCTTATTATCATTGGAACACGTTAAGGGGTAATTTTACCAAAAACATTTGCCCCGCACAGATGTGACGTAGCGGGCCACGTGGCATCTGTGACACTTGTCACTCACATAGCGGTGGAAAAGTAATTACTTTTTACCCTTTGGGGAATTTACCAGGATGCCCCTGGAGTTACTTCTCTATAAATAGAAACTTTGCACCAAACATTTTCGCTTATTTATGAAAAAAGGTCTTGAGAGAATCTGAGAGAATCTTTGACTTTTCTTTGAAAAAGCACTCCCGTCTGCCGCTTGCTATTTGCCACCTGACCCAGTCGGCATGTTTAACTTCAGCACTACAAGATTCATCATTCATGGAACACGGAACATAACAATCATCAATAGAAGCATTTGAATAACCATGACCACGTTCATAACTATCTCTAGCAAACCATACATAAAAGTCCCAAGCATCATCGATTGACAATGCCCAAAATCTACCATTAAACATGCTTTCAACAATGTCTCTAGTTTGCTTAGTCAAATTATGATAACAAATATCACAAGCCTCCCAAAGATCATAACCATGGTAACTAATAAAGTTCTCTAATCTATTAAAGTACACCCAAAATGGCACATTCTCAAATTGAGGAACGAGGTATTTCTCATTTTTTATACAAAACAAACTAAAATCAAATAGAAAAGTATATACAAAGACCTAGACTCAAGCAATTAAAAACACTCAAACATAGACACCGTTCTCCGGCAATGGCGCCATTTTGACGAGGGGTGGAACTAGGTCGTTGAAACTAATCCTCCCTCGATCAAACTAAATTTATAAAAACTTAACAAACCTAAAAACAAGTATAGAGGCAAGTCAAGGGTCGAACCCAAAGGAATGATAATGTTCAAGCGCTCTCAATTATACGCCTAAGCTAGGTCAAATTCTAAGGATTAAAGGTAAACACTAACCAACTAAAAAAACGAAGAATCAAACAAATAAAACACTAGGAACGGGGATCAACAAGTAATCATGATAATTGTAGCAACTCGGAAATACATGCAAGTCAATGGTTGTGAAGACTATTGGAAAGCTCAATCAAAAGAATCAACAAGCTAAATCCTAGAGGTCAAACTAGCGCCAACTACGAGAGACTTTAAGTATGAGCATCACTAATCAAGCTCAATCGACAATTGCAATTCCTAAATCAATGGTCCGTATCATTAGAAACTACAATGCAATCTAGCATAATTCTCAAGGCCTAATCGAATTACACCCATGCAAACTTTCATTAATCACTTTAATCTCAACAATTCTTCAACACAATCTCCAAATTAAGCACAATCAATCAATCAAGTTTCACCCAATTTCTAGCAAATAACTACTCTAACATCATCATCTAATCAACAAAAAACTAAAGAAATCAAGAATAAACAATATATGAAGAACAACTACACTAATCAAGCATCAAACATCAAAATCAATCTAAACAAACATGAATACTAAACAAAGCAATAAAATGAGATAGAGTTAAGAATTATCATTGATAATAGAGAAAATCTTCAACAAACTTGTCACCATTAAATCTTCAATCTCGTAATCACCATTGAAATTCCTCACTTTCTCTCTCTAAAATCTACCCCTAAACTAACCCTAAAACTAGAGAGAGAAGCTCTTAAGTATGCTAAGAATATGATAAAAAAACTAGAATAATACTGCTCTAAATTCCCCCAAAAATCGGGTTACAATGATATTTATAGAGGTCGCGAAAACAAAAACCGAGCAAGCAAATACCAGGAAGGTGGCCCGCGCTTCAAGGGTGGCGCGCCCGCGCCTGAGCTCTGCGCGCCCGCGTCTCTCTGGGTTTCTTTGATCTTTTCGCGGCTTCGTGCATTCGCTAAGGTCGCACGATTATGATAATGATGAACACTAAGAGAGGCAGTCCCAAAAGCACTTGATTGTGGGTTCAACACCCCATCTTCATGAGACCACGGCTTGAGAGCACAAGAGCTAGAAGTTAGAGAATCCACTTCCTTGCATCTTGAGCTTTCCTATTGCCATGAGCTTGCTCCAAAGGCTTCCTCCACCTTAGTAAATCACCAATATCAAGACCTAAACCTTGTACAATACCTACAACCACGAAAATAGAGCAAATAAAGGAGAAAAGACTATAAAACCCATAAAATTGCATTAAAGCTACAAAATAAGAGAGGAAAGGTAAAACTAAGACAAAATTCATAAAACTAAGCATTTATTAAACATAAAAGCCATGAAAAGAAGGTGAAAACAATCTAAATGTGCATCAAATGGGTGCTATTTATGACACCATCAAGCACTACCTCTTTTAGGTAACCACCTACTCCTTTCTTTCTCTTTTCATTTTCCTTTCATTTTGCCTTTGTTTGTTTCATTAAAAAATGGTATTACAAACACACACGGCATGACCTAGGATAGCTGTCAGCCGGTCACCTGGGACGGCTGAATCTAAAACTAGGGGTACCGCTTGTCCTGAATTGCTCTCTCCAACGAATCTGTCTGTGTCTATGCACGACACTATGGATTAAACAAAAAAGGACAGCTTGGCCGCCTACTGATGAAGAGGATGAAAGTCCTATTAATGTGCCCAGAAGCGAGGTATCTTATTACCCATCCGGCGTCCAAATGATGCCGACTAACTCGATTCTGGTTGAGCAAGAAAATGCTCTCATCGAAGAGGCATCCGGCTCTAGAGAGGAGTCGTCTCAGTCGGATGCTAGCTACAACGGCCTCAGAAGTGAGTAGGAGCTACCTGTGAATGCTGAGGAAGGCTCTGAGGAAGGGGTCGCCTCTCTCGAGCGAGGCCAGGAAGAAAATTCTTCCTCCCTCAAAGAAATATTTACTCCTTCTTCAGCCATATGTCCGCATCTACCCAGAGAACCATACAGAAACACTTGGGTGATTTCTGGGACACCTATTTCATGGGTGTCCGCTATCAAATAAACGTTCCAGCCCTAACAATTCAGTCGTCTGGCTTCTTGACCCGAGCTATGGAGATATTTGCTTTGGGTGCTATACGGCCACATTACAGGTGGGCCTTAGGTTTCCGTTTGATTCAGAAATTGAAAAGATCCTGGACGGGTACCGCTTGGGATATGGCAACTAGAACCCAATTCATGGGTTAATATTCTAGGATTTGTAGCCTCTTGTAGGATGCAGGACGTTGAGCCTAGCTTTGAGGCCTTCACCCACATGCATTACCTAAGAAAAGCTCTCGCATCAGCCGGCCCCAGGTGGTTCACCTTATCATGTAACAAAGGTTACATGATGAGTTTGGGGAAAGAAAACAAATGGAAGCATTGGAGAAACAAGTTTTACATTGTTTTTTCCCCTGATACCATCCGGAACCGGAAGTATAATTCCTTGAACAAATATCCTCACCTCTTAGGTTAGAAAGCTATTCTCCCTCGTGTGTCTGACGAAGGTTAGGACTAGATTTTGACACCTAGTCTATTTAAAGTTGACGTGAAAATGGTTAGGGGGGAACCGAGAAAGAGATTACCACTAAAATCTATATCCTAGAGTTCAATTGGCTAACTAATCCTTTCTATTTGGCCGCCTGTGGCCTTAGAAGTGAGAAGGGAAGAGGTGGGAAATTGTCTGAGTCTTTGCATAGCTATAATTTCATTTATTTTTTTTTACTAACATTTCATTTGGTCGTTTGCAGAAGAAGCCATGTCTCAGCTTGATCCGAGCAAAAAACCAGGAGGCGACGCCTCAGCTTAGTGCCAAATAATGAAGCACAAAAACCAAGTGTTCAAGTAAGAACAGCTTGAGCATGTAAGTTTTTTACATCTGTCTTATTACCGTTGGCCCTTTTTTTCAAACTTTTTATTTCAAAGTTGATCCTTTTTTAGGAAAGGTTGGTGGAGCTGCATGTACTACCAACACTGCCAGACTCCGATTAAAAGAAGGAAGACGGTTGCTCACAAATCATCAGCTAGCCAGTTAGAGTCCCACCCCTCTATAGGTGGCAAGTCGCTGGTTGTTATGGCTGCTTTGAAGAAGGCGGAGGAGTCCAAGTCGGCTAAGGAAAAAACTCCAACTGGGGCAACCGACTCTCTAGGCGGCCATTCAAGCAGGCGGAGTGAAGAATGCTCAAGATTTGTTCATCATCCCAGATACCTCCGCCTTTGATCCCTAGCATTACCCTTGTAGAGTTAAGACTTATATTTATTCGCCAAACAACTCTGAAACATACCTGTCTTTTGGCAGGATCTATGCCAGCCTCTTACCAAGTATTAATTGTGTAGATTCTCCCCAGGCGCCGGATGATAAGCGGATCGCCAAGGACATGATCGCTGCTGTCTCTGCTGAACATCGCGACTCTATCAAAGGAGTCAGCTCCCTGAACTTTAATGATATCCTTGCAAATTTGGCAGAGGTATTTTTTCAAGTTATTTTCTAACTTTTGCCTTTGCCGACTGTATACTAACCTTCCTTTTCTTTTTGGTAGATGAAAGCTAATGGTCATAAAAAACCATTCAGCGACAAGCGGAAAGAGGTAAGGGTTGCCAACTTAAGGGCCGCTTCCAATCTTGACAAATCCATGTTTGATGTAAATAAGACTGAGTTGTTGACTGAAGATATCCTATACTTACAAGAGACTGCAAATTTGCAAGTGATGAAAAATTTGGTGGCGGCCCAGAAGAGGGTGACTGAACTGAAGGCGGCTAAAGAGAAGGTTGAAGAGCTTCAAGATGCTGGCAAAGAGACAGATAGTCTCTAGAGCCAACATGATAAACTTCAACACAAGCTTGCCAATCAAGTAAAGCAGCTCGCCTCCAAATGGTCTGCCAAGGTGGAATAGGAGAAAAGGCTGCTCGTTGAGGAAAACAAGGCCGATTGCGTCACTCGCATGAAGATGGTGTGCAAGGATCTCTTTCCCAAAGACAACTACTCATTTGGGAGTATCGTTATGAGCAAGTTACAGAGGAGCAGGATTCTCAGGCAGGCTAGGGAGCTGATGGCGGCAAGGGGGACCAGCATGAGGACGAGGGCAAGGAAATTAAAGTGATGGAGATCATCAGGCCAATGAAGAAGTGGCGGATGAAAATGAAGCCGAGGTCCTCTCCTAAAGCTAATTAATTTTAATGTTGTTTCTGCGGCCGGATGGATAGTTCAAATATATTTTTGACCTGCGTGTCGAGTATCTCTTGTTTCTTTATCGACTGAGGAGTCGGGTTAATCAACATTTTATTTTTTTTTCATCGGTTGTTTAGTCGGTTAACAATTTGACTTTTTAATTTTGCTGGCCAAGGGGTCAGCTTTTTATGATGAATCATCTGCCCAATAGGTCGGTTTTTAATGTTTGTGTTTGGTTTCTAACAATTGTGTTTTATTTTCTAAAATTTGTATTTTGTGTTTGAATGGTATACCAGATTGTTTTATCCCTGGGCAGCTGTGCACTTGGGTTTAAAAGTTTGTTGATTGGCTTGAAAATGGGTGATGCTGGTTGAGGTATGACTGATTTTTGAGTCAATCAATCACTAAGGTGATTGCCCCAAGCCAAGCGCGCAGTCGGCCACTCTAGGATCCAGCTCTTATTGCAAGCGGTCACTAGACCTTTCTTCCATGGTAGAATGGTTGTTCATGCAACAAGTATTACAAGTTGAATGAACTTCAATGTTAATTTAGCATCGGTCCGCCTGAGATTCTTCCTTTACAGGCGTCTCATATTTTTAGGCATCCCTTTTCGCCTACGCAAGTTTAAATGGGTCCGGATGAGTGATCATGCTACAAATATTACAATTTTCATGAAATAGGAAGTTTGCAATTGTCCGCCTGCTAGTTTTCTATTACAATAGCAAGCAATTCTATGAGCCTTATGTGCTCACCCCATTTCGAGAGGGCTTCATCCAACTTAGGCTAATTCTCAAACTAGTCGTTTATGTATGTGGCCATAATCCAATTATACTCCATGTCCGCATTTCCCTACTAGGAGGAATTGTATAATTTTGCGAGGTAATCTAAGTCAGAATTTCAGTCGATGGCCGATTGATGTACCCAACATCCGACCATTGCATTCTTAGTCCTTCTTTAGATTTCCATGGTCAGGTAGCTGTGAGTTGACCAATTAGGTCGTTCAATTTCTACCGGCTGTATGCAATTGTAAAGCAGACGATAGAATGCCCTCTGCGACGATAACACCCAGAGTGATTCCAAGATCCTTTATTCGTGCAATAATTTACCGGACTTTGGCCCTACCATCAACCATTACATTTTCAAGGTGAGTAAACTCTTTACTGATTACAACTCTTGTAACTCTTGGTTGAATAATTAATCGTCACATGTTTAATTATTTCCCTTTTCTTCAAGGTTCTAAACTCTTTAGGTAACCTTATTGAGCATAACCAATTAAAAGTGTAAAATTTGTTTTACCCCCACTCCCCTAAGATATAATATGAAAACCAGCTTTGGCATGACCCATCATAAATATCAAATGTTTCATCGGGTTTTTAATTGGAAAAGCAATCTTAATATTACTGGGACCTAGATTTATTATGTTGTGATTATTTAGTGAACTCTAGCGCATCATCAATCAACATAAATACAATCTAAAATGCATAATCTACTAATGCAATAAAATAAATCATGACATAGTATGGCCCCTTAGTCGTAAGAAAACTAGAAATGAAAATGCTCCCACTTGAATCATCATGGATCTCCATCCACCTTGCTCCTTTGGGCCTTCAATTCATGGGCTTCTTTGAACTAACATTATTTAAATAACTATTCTATTTACTTTAAATGAAAGTTAGAAAAATACTTAACGGTACGCAGACCGTATTTAGATTACAAAAATACATCACGATGCGCATATCGTATTTAAGAATCTATGGGCCATACTAGTCTATATACAGCAACATAATATCATATATTATAAAAGTGCCATATAATAAATCACTCAACATGCTTATCTAAACTACAACATCGAATGTTCATAATAAAATCAACGCATTTCCTAAAATATCTTATATTATAATCATAATTAAATAATATCATATATTATTCATGAGCGTTTATAAAATATCATATATTTAATTTAGTTATGAGATAGAATCAAATCATATTTTAATCTAGAAAGATAAATCATATTTAATCTTCCATGATTATCCTAACAAATTTAGGAGATTCTATCCTAAGTACTAGCCAATCAAATAATTTTAAAATCAATTATATTCTAATCTAATTATGGGATAATCACATTATTTAAATCAATTATTATCCTTTTGGAATATGCTCAGAATATCCTAATCAATTTTATCCAAAATTAACCACTTTAATTAGGATAATTATCAATTTAACAACTTTAAATATGGATAATATCAAATATAACAACTTTTAAGTAATTGATTTTATCCTAAAATAAAAGATTTTATCCAAATAAAACCAATTTTATCTTTTTAAAATAAAAGATCATATTTTCAAAATATTTTAACTTATACAAAATGAAATTGATTTTATCCCAAAATAATTCATAATTATCTTGAAATAATTTTTCAAATAATATAATTTTTTTTTTTTTTTGAAAAACCGCAAGCCACCACCGCCGGCCACCGTGGTTGGCTGCCGCAACAGCACCCACTGCCACAAGGCAGCATCGGGCAGCAGCCGTGCAACGCTTGCAAGCTGCTGCCCATTGCCACCCTCCGACCTCTACCCTCCCCTTCCCCTCCCTCTTGGTCTAGCAGCGGCGATAGCAACTAAGGCTGCGCCACCCAGCCGTGGCTGCCGCCTCTAAATATATATTTATATTTTTTTTTTGTGTTTTAATTTAATTAAAATAACTTTTATCAAAATTAAATTAAATCAATCCGAAAATTAAAATTGAATCAACATTCAATCTTAAAATTAGGGTTCTTCATAAAATTGATCCCAATTTAATTCTAACTTTTCAAATTAAATCGATGATCATACACAAAACACTATTATGCATAAATCAATCCGATTCAAATTATGAATAATAAAATAAATCGAATTAAATCAAAATCAAGCACAAAAATCATATTTTAGGGCTAGTATTTTCGAAAATTAAAAAAAATAAGGTTAGGAGGTTCGAAAATTTCGAACATATTAGGGCTAAAATTCGGTCATCTTCATGGCTATTTGAGCATAATTAAATCACATTTAATCAATTCCAAAAGTTTAATTACATTAAATATAAAAATTGAACTATAATTAAATTAATTTCTTCCTCTTAATTGATTATAAAATTAACATGGACATCAAATAATCGTATTATTATGATCTAGCGCGTTGATGCAAGAGGCTAACTGATATCACTGTAGGAGTTTATAGGTACTACACAGCGGAAATAATATAAATCTTATTCAACCAAGTACAAATCCCAAGATCACATGCATAACACACAAGACACATAATCATACCTTTGACGCGTGAATTCCACGAAGCTATTCGACAGGAAAATTAGGGAGAGAATAGAGCCCCAAGCGTTGCTCCTCTACTTAGTCCACGAGATTCGAACGAGTCGTCCACCAATACTAGATTGGTCGAGTGATTGAGGAAAACCACGATCACCACCTTTAGAGACAACCAACCACCGCACAAACCACCACCACCACCACAAACCTCCACCGGCGTGAGGAGGAGGAGAGAGCCGTGTGAGAGAGAGGACTTTGAAAGGGGTTGGGTTTGGTGTTTGATAATTAGGGTTTGATCTTATCTGATCAGATAATTGCTTACTATACTTGCAAACCTACACACCTAGTCTATTTATAATCTCATTATAATTAGAGTAGGGCACGAAGCCCAAAACCACTTCTTATCCTCCATATGGCCGGTCACTTAGAGTGATGAGGCCCAAGATGGGCCTCGTCCTCTAATGCTCGATCTAGCCCCTTTGTGTGACCTTATAGGATATGTGCAATTGGGCTTTGGGCTATTTTACTAGTCTAAAGATCGTTAGTGCCACTAGCTATAGCCAAACGACGACCCAAATGTAAGAACTTAATTATCTCCATAATTTGATCCAATTATATATCTAGTAATTGTACACGACGAAGACATAACTCCTTCACATATATGGGAGAAAACACAATTGCTAGACATAATGGTTACCTGATTAGATCATCGTTAATCATCTCACTTAGCTTATTCTCCAATAATCATCATTCGAACTCTCAACCTCCATCATTAAATCCTCATTGCCATGACTCATTCGATCATACCCAATAATAATAAATATACATTAGTAACCTCTCAATTCAAAATCGTTGATAGAACAAGTATAAACTTATTTTTAGAATCAAAACAAGTATTACATCATTTTGACTAAAATGAGCATTACTTTAAAAATAGATACTACCACTATTCATATTAGTAGAAAATATTACTATAAAAACTTTAATTTAGAGAACTCTAAAATTGCTCTAGTATCAAAACTCATTTTTAGGAAGTTGAATGTACAAAGTACATAATCATCAATTCCTTGTGCAAAATAATATTAGAATTTAAACAAACACTACACTATTAAGAGTAAAATAAGAACAAACATAGAACATAGATAGCAATTAGCAAGATACTACTATATTTTAGCATCGTTTTCTTATCATCAAAATATCTAAATAATCGTTTTCAAAGAAAGTTAAGAGTTTGTATCTCAAAAAAAGGATAAACTTATAATCAAAATAAGAGCAAACAAAATAAGCTCACTTTGGTTTCATGTGTACAGAGTAGTCTCAAAGACTATTCTTGGTTTCACCAAACATGACACAAATGGAGGAAGAACAAGAGTGCTTGGCTACGGTGCATGAGCTTGGTCTACGATAAGAAGAAGGATGGCAACAACTGCCTGGAGCAGGGAAAAGATATGGTGATTGAGGCAATAGTGGTGTCTCTTTTGCAGTCAAACTTATGGGTGTTAATAACCTGGTACGTGAAACTTATAAGAGAAGGAAGAGTAAAGATCAAGATAACTATATTAATTTGATAAGTTTGAAAATTAAGCTGATCACTAAACTTTTGTTGTGATGATAATTGAAACAATCGAACATCCTATTGGAAAGAACCAAATTTTAACTTCCAATGCTTAACCGTGAAGAAAGAACAAGGAAGAGTTGGATTTTGTCCTTTTTCGATGCATAAGGGCATTTTGGTAATTTAACCCGCTCAGGTAGAAATACGGATTTTATGTAAATCTTTAAACATTTGACTGAACAAAAAATATTACTTGACCCGAAATACATTTTAAAATAAGTAACGTTCCTTTCGAAAAATTAACTTTCGAAATGATCTAATCTTATAATAAAATTTAACACAAAAACATTCGAATTGAATAAATAGTGATTAAAAATCAATTAAGCTAATATTATAGAATCAGTGTTTAATAAATTAAGTTTTAAAATCTTGGGTATTACATCCTTACCCCCTTACAAAAAGTTTCGTCCTTGAAACTTGTTACCTTATAACTTACAATCATTATAACCAATAATACCTCAAAATCAACTTACAACATTTCTTATGAATCACATCCTCTAATTTAAATCTAATAAACAATATGATACTCAAATCTCAAATAAATTTAATATCCCAAAGTTCTTAACCACAAATCATATTCATATCACTAAGATATTCTTCCCTGTCCTATATATTATAACCTCAAATTATTTCTACTACTCAAAGATATTCTTCAATCACCAAAAGATCAGCTTTCATGTCCTAAAGATCATACTCTGGCGACACAAGTCTACGACCCACACTTCCGGCAGAGTTCCGCTCTGATACCTAACTGTAACGCCCCGACTTTTAATCGGCGTCACTGTAAGGAGGGTGATCCCATCAAAAGGGGTACTCTACTAAAATGCCCTTGGCCGCTTAAAAGCCTAGGACTTTACACTTGTTAGGGTGTATTAGGATTTGAATTCCTGACTGTTTGGGGGACCTTGAATTAGAATTTATTCCATCATTACGCTTTTTTATAAGAAACAAGTAGGAGTCGCCAATGAGGTTTAGGAAAAACTCATAAACCTCATTCATGCCTTTCTTCCATGTGGAGTTCATGGAATAATTATCACAAATCATAATTTTACCCATCCCCAAACTGGTCTATAAACCAGATTTGAGTTCGGGAGTGAGGGTACTAAGATAACGTTCCTTGTAGAGGGTAATCGTCATCCTAGCCCTAGTACGACCTCGTTTCATCACCAAACAATATATGCAACGCGATACCTAAAAATATGTTAGTTGATTTTATTTACAAGCATTAATTCCATAAGAATTACATTACAAAAGTCGTTATTCTTATATAATAATTATCGTGAAAGATCAATAAATAAACAAGATTCGCCTTGGCTTAAGTGATCAACCAACAATTATTATATTCAATTCTAGTCTTTATTTAACGCAAGATACTATGTGGAATTGATTAATTAATTATTTTAAAAGTGATAAAAAAACACTAATTAATTAATTAAAGTCCTTTTAAACAAGAAAAATAAAGGTGATTTCACTAAGTGCTCGGGAATTTACCACTACTCTTTGCTAGATCTCCGTTTAGAACACTTATGGACACCTTCTTGTTGGGGAACCTCCACCGTAGTAACAAAGTATCGAAAGGGTGAGTGTTTAGGAAAAGAGGGCTAGGTTGCACAAGTTCACAAGTTAATTCACCAGAGTTTTTAGGTTAATTTCTGTCTGTTGAAGCCTCGCTTTAAGTTCGTATTTATAAAGAAGGATTAGGTTTAGGCTTTCGAGCAATCTGCCGCAGCAGACGTCGCGCGCAACATATGAAGTTGCGCGTGGCATCCCAGCGCAAGTTATAGAGTTGCACTGCTATGTGTTGCGCGACTTTTTGTCTTGCGCCCGGCTTTATGGTAAGATTTGATTTTATATTTTCCGTATTATTACAAATCTTCCAAGTTGCGCTGGGTGTTGCGCGCAACTGAATTAGTTGCGCGCGGCAGCCCAGCGCGACTTTGTGAGATGCGCGCGGCTTTTTCTGCGACAACACTAAGTTTTAACCTAGGCACTCTTAAATCCGTCATTATTAGGGTTTATGCACGGGCTTAAGCCTAATTATGATCGGTTTTAGTTGATTGGACCTTTGTTTTGAATTTTTCTTTAATTTGGGCTAGTCTTTTGTGTTTTGTGGCTTATCCAGTTATCCATAAGTATACTTCACTTTGATCCAACACGAAGATGGATTTATTTACCGTCATTGCACTTCCTGTCGGGACAGGAGGCCAAAAGTAGATGTGTATAGTCACCAGACCGTACTTAACTTGTCGTTTGCAGCGGAATTAATTAACCATAAATAATCCATTCTTTACTCATCATATGCAACGGAATCAATCATATAGATAATCTCGTGAACACCTGTGGGTTATGGGCCCATAAATAAACATACTCCTTAATGAGAATAATCAATAAATAATACAACTCCAGTCTTCATTACTGTAATAAAATAATCAATCCATCTCAACTCTCGATGATCCATAATACATAAGCCTTGATTCCAAAATCCCTCTAAGTAAATTCCTTTAATCCTTTTACCTTTGATTAACTTCAGCTCCATCATCATTATCCCTATTGTTATCCATAAAAATAGAAAACAGAGAAAACGCAGGAAAATCAAAAAATGAGTGGAAAACTCAGTAACATTACTCTAGCCCGTTAAAACAGTTTTTCTTTCAAAATCATTTGAGCATATATCATACATACATAGTTGTTTAGAAATAATCTAATATCATTATTTTTTTAAAAGCTGTGTCGGAAAGGATCATTCCCTTTACATAAGATCATTGGTAAGTATAGGTTTTGGACATAACATAACTTTGATTCGTGTGGGAATGTTTCCCCCTATCATTAACATACTTTCCTCCACCTGTAACTCGCCTATTTTCCACGTTCAGTTCACTTTCCGATGCCGACAAAAGTTTCATCTATCGTATCATATTAAATCATTTCTGAACAACTTTGCACTTCACAAAAATTCATAGCACATTGACACATTACATAATCATTCATTCGTAACACTTAGTTTAATAAAATAATAATCATTAGCGTTAGACATTTAACAGGGGCATAGCATAACAGGTCAAATACACATGATTTATAAACTAATAAAATAACTAGAAATACCTGTCGTTCATAGCATTCTTATCACCTCGTATGATGGTAAGACATCATTATGAACTATCGTACATATCAGTATATCATAAAACTCCTCAATAGAGCGAGTATATATCCTTGTGAGTTCATATAAGTCCTTTAATAGAATTCATGTATTCGTTATCTTTTTGGTGGACATGCTAGTCGCTAGACAGTATGACATGGCGGAACGTCTTCTGCGATGGGACGGTGCCCATAACATAGAGCAAGTGCTCGACATAGTTATGCTGGTGCCCCATGGGTACATGCATTGCATGACCGAAACATAACATATACTGCTAGGCGGACTAGGTCTTTCACTTTCATTTATTAAGTTAAGTATCTTTTAATATGTTATTCGTAGATTATTAACATACTTTCGAGAGATCCACAAATCAATAGAATATTGTATATGTAAAATCATTAATATAAATCATAAGGCTGAAATACATCAATAAACATGTTCATCATATCGCAAGTCATTAAAAATATATACAAGGATATAAAAGATCATGTTATGTCATGTCATTTGCACATACCTGATTTAAAATCATAACATGCCAAACATATCATACATTCATACAAGTGGTACAATAACAGGCCATTAAGGTTACATACGTGGAATCATAATAACTAGATATAATTGTCACATACAGGTTTAAACACAGTAGCTTACACATAATAGGTACATATATGGGAGAGAACACAATTGGTAGACATAATGGTTACCTGATTAGATCATCCTTAATCATCTCACTTAGTTTATTCTCCAATAATCATCATTCGAACTCTCAACCTCCATCATTAATTCCTCATTACCATAACTCATTCGATCATACCCAATAATAATAAATGTTCATTAGTAACATCTTAATTCAAAACCTTTGATAAAACAAGTATAAACTTATTTTTAGAAACAAAACAAGTATTACCTCATTTTGAGTAAAATGAGCATTACTTTAAAAATAAATACTACCACTATTCATTTTAGTAGAAAATATTACTATAAAAACTTTAATTTATAGAACTCTCTAATTGCTCTAGTATCAAAACTCATTTTTCGGAAGTTAAATGTACGAAGTACCTAATCATCAATTCCTTGTGCAAAATAATATTAGAATTTAAACGAACACTACACTTTTAAGAGTAAAATAAGAACAAACATAGAACTTAGGTAGCAAGCTACTACTATATTTTAGCATCATTTTCTTCTCATCAAAATATCTAAATAATCGTTTTTAAAGAAAGTAAAGAGTTTGTATCTCAAATAAAGGATAAACTTATAATCAAAATAAGAGCAAATAAAATAAGTTCACTTTGGTTTCATGTGTACAGAGTAGTCTCAAAGACTATTCTCGGTGTCACCAAACATGACACGAATGGAGGAAGAAGAAGAGTGCGTGGCCGCGGTGCATGAGCTTGGTCGACGGTAAGAAGAAAGATGGCAACAATGGCCTGGAGCAGGGAAAAGGTAAAGTGATTACGGCAATAGTGGTGTCTCTTTAGCAGTGAAACTTATGGGTGTTAACAACTTGGTACAAGAAACTTATAAGAGAAGGAAGAGTAAAGATCAAGATTATTAATTTGATAAGTTTGAAAATTAAGCTGATCACTAGACTTTTGTTGTGATGATAAGTGAAACAATTGAACATCCAATGGAAAAGAAGCAAGTTTTGACTTCCATGCTTAACCGTAAAGAAAAAACAAGGAAGAGGTTGATTTTGTCCTTTTTCGATGCATAAGAGCATTTTGGTAATTTTACCCTCTCCGGTAGAAATACAGATTTTATGTAAATCTTTAAACATTTGACCGAACATAAAATATTACTTGATCCGAAATACATTTTAAAGTAAGTAACGTTCCTTTCGTAAAATTAACTTCCGAAATGATCTAATCTTATAATAAAATTTAAGACTAAAACATTCGAATTGAATAAATAGTGATTAAAAATCAATTAAGCTAATAATATAGAATTAGAGTATAATAAATCAAGTTTTAAAATCTCGGGTATTACAAGAAGGTTCTGAATCATTCTTCGTCCCTATCGATACTTTGAGTTTTGTTTTCAAAGTGGGGGCTTCTATAGACATCCAAATGTGCCTTCCCAAAACCAAACCCAGAGATAAATATCTTTCACGTCATTTGATTATCGAACGAAGTGAAAGTGTGGAAAGTCTAGTGATGTGGATGTTTTTATTAAAGTATATCTCTGTCTGTTTTTGAAAATATTTCTTCTTACACTCAATTTATGAAAATAGTCAGTCCAATTAAGTTTGATCCGTGAAAAAAGTCCAATAATAGTGTAGTTTGATTGGGCTCGAAAAGAGCTTTCCAACGTCATTTTATAAGCCCAATTCAGATGAATAATGGGGAAGTTATGGATTAAATTAAATTTGGCCCGAAATGAATTTTATATGTGGCCTAATGATTTAGAGGAGGGCCTATTAATTGTTATTTCTAAAGTTATTAGGATTGATTTTAATAATTTAGAAGGTTCTTTTAAATTCTAATGAGATTAGAATTAATTATTATATTTTTAAAGAGTATTATTTTGATTAAAATAAGTGATTTATCACAAACCTGATTTTAATTTGATAAACACGGAATTGGCTGCTTAATCGTATTAGGAAGAGGTTTCCACGCTCAAATCGCGTTTGATTTTTGACTTAGCGCATGACGACAAGTTTGTCACCTGTCGCTAATAGCTGTCGCCAGGCGCTAAGCCTTTCGTTTGGCGCTAACTCCTGGCGTTGGCGACATGTGGTATTTTATTCCGAATGGGACTTGATTTGTTTAGGTACTATTGTTTTATAAATAGGGGTCGTATCTCCCTGTTTTTTTCATTCACAACCTTCATCTCTGTCTCTCTCTCTCTCTCTATTTTCTCTCTTTTAAGCTAGCAGCTTATTCTCTCTCTATTCTTTTTCTAAACCTTCCTTCTTAAAAAATTCCACATTCACAAGTTATATACACACCTTGTTTTGGGTATTTTTGTTCCTCGGGAGAGTTACAACTCGAAAACTGGTTGAGGAGCGCCTGTACTTGCAAAATATTGGAGACTCTGGGTGGTTGGAGCTCCTCCTTCGACGATCAATTTAGAACGTGCTGGAGTAGGTAAAAAGTGCGGAAAAAGACAAGGGTGAGATCTTCTCGGATTCCGAGATCAAGAGATTTCTCTAATGTTAGAGAATGTCAGTGATATTGTAATAAAATCAATCTGTCCCACAAATGGGGGAAATCTCCCTATTTATAGGGTCATTTTGGATAAGTGTGCCATTACGTAGGTTATTTGACCTAGATTTGGTGGCGGCTTTTTGGGAATTTGGCGTTTGAAGGCCAACATTCCTTTTGATGACAGCAGGTTCCACGTGTCATTTCATTAGTGGCCCAATTTAGGCCAATATAGGATGGACACGTGTCCTATTCTCATTGGACCACGTGGCGGGGTAATTTTACTCAAAACATTTGCCCCGCACAGATGTGATGTGGTAGGCCACGTGGCATCTGTGACACTTGTCACTCACATAGCGGTGGAACAGTAATTAATGTTCACCTTTTGGGGAATTTACCAGGATGCCCCTGGAGTTACTCCTGTATAATTAGAAACTTTGCCCCACATATTTTTGCTCATTTACGAAAAAAAGGTCTTGAGAGAATCTGAGAGAATATTTGACTTTTCTTTGAAAAAGCACTCCCGTCTGCCGCTTGCTATTTGCCGCCTTATCCAATCGACTTGTTCAACTTCAGCACTACAAGATTCATCATTCATGGAACATGGAACATAACAATCATCAATAGAAGCATTTGAATAACCATGACCACGTTCATAACTATCTCTAGCAAACCATACATAAAAGTCCCAAGCATCATCGATTGACAATACCCGAAATCTACCATTAAACATGCTTTCAATAATGTCTCTAGTTTGCTTCGTCAAATTATGATAACAAATCTCATAAGCCTCCCAAAGATCATAACCATGGTAACTAATGAAGTTCTCTAGTCTATTAAAGTACACCCAAAATGGCTCATTCTCAAATTGAGGAAACGAGGTATTTCTCATTTTTTATACAAAACAAACAAAAATCAATATAGAAAAGTATATACAAAGACCTAGACTCAAGCAATAAAAAACACTGAAACATAGACACCGTTCACCGGCAATGGCGCCATTTTGATGAGGGGTGGAACTAGGTCGTTGAAACTAATCCTCCCTCGATCAAACTAAATTTATAAACACTTAACAAACCTATATACAAGTATAGAGGCAAGTCAAGGGTCGAACCCAAAGGAATGATAATGTTCAAGCGCTCTCAATTATGCGCCTAAGCTAGGTCAAATTCTAAGGATTAAAGGTAAACACTAACCAACTAACAAAACGAAGAATCAAACAAATAAAACACTAGGAACGGGGATCAACAAGTAATCATGATAATTGTAGCAACTCGGAAATACATGCAAGTCAATGGTTGTGAAGACTATTGGAAAGCTCAATCAAAAGAGTCAACAAGCTATATCCTAGAGGTCAAACTAGCGCCAACTACGAGAGACTTTAAGTATGAGCATCACTAATCAAGCTCAATCGACAATTGCAATTCCTAAATCAATGGTCCGTATCATTAGAAACTACAATGCAATCTAGCATAATTCTCAAGGACTAATCGAATGACACGCATGCAAAATTTCATTAATCACTTTAATCTCAACAATTCATCAACACAATATCCACATTAAGCACAATCAATCAATCAATGAAGTTTCACCCAATTCCTAGCAAACAACTACTCTAACATCATCATTTAATCAACAAAAACCTAAAGAAATCAAGAATTAACAATATATGAAGAACAACTACAATAATCAAGCATCAAATATCAAAATCAATCCAAACAAACATGAATACTAAACAAAGCAATAAAATGAGATAGATTTAAGAATGCTCATTAATAATAGAGAAGATCTTCAACACAATTGTCACCATTGAATCTTCAATCTCTCAATCACCATTGAAATTCCTCACTTTCTCTCTCTAAAATCTACCCCTAAACTAACCCTTAAACTAGAGAGAGAAGCTCTTAACTATGCTAAGAATATGATAAAAAAAACTAGAATAATACTGCTCAAACTTCCCCCAACAATCGGGTTATAATGATATTTATAGAGGTCGCGAAAATAAAAACCGAGCAAGCAAAAACCTAGGAAGGCGCGCTCGCGCTGCAAGGGTGGCGCGCCCGCGCCCGTGCTTTGCGCGCCTGCGTCTCTCTGGGTTTCTTCAAACTTTTCACGCTTCGTGCATTCACTAAGGTCGCACGATTATGATAATGATGAACACTAAGAGAGGCAGTCCCAAAAGCACTTGATTGTGGGTTCAACACCCCATCTTCATGAGAGCACGACTTGAGAGCGCAAGAGTTAGAACTTGGAGAATCCACTTCCTTGCATCTTGAGCTTTCTTATTGCCATGAGCTTGCTCCAAAGGCTTCCTCCACCTTAGTAAATCACCAATATCAAGACCGAAACCTTGTATAATACCTACAACAACGAGTATAGAGCAAATAATTGAGAAAAGACTAGAAAAACCATAAAAATGCATTAAACCGCCTACTCTTTTCTCTCTCTTTTTAGTTTCCGTTCAGTTCGCTTGTGTTTGTTTCTTTAAAAAATGGTATCACAAACACACACGGCATGACCTAGGATAGCTGTCAGCCGGTCGCCTGGGACGGCTGAATCTAAAACTAGGGGTGCCGCCTGTCCTAAATTACTCTCGCCAACGAATCCGTCTGTGTCTGTGCAGGACACTATGGCTAGAGCAAAAAAGGACAGGTCGGCCGCCTTTTGATGAAGAGGACGACAATCCTATCAAGGTGCCCAAAGCGAGTTATCTTAATACCCATCCAGCGTCCATATGACGCCGACTGACTCGATTCTGGTTGTGCAAAAAAATGCTCCCAGCGAAGGGGCGTCCGGCTCTAGAGAAGAGTCGTCTCAGTCGGATGCTAGCTCCAACGGCCTCAAAAGTGAGGTGGAGCCGCCTGTGAATGCTGAGGAAGGCTCTGAGGAAGGGGCCGCCTCTCTCCAGCGAGGCCAGGAAGAAAATTCTTCCTCCCTCTAAGAATTATTTACTTCTTACTTCATCCATGTATCCGCATCTACTTAGAGAACCATGTGGAAACACTTGGGTGATTTCTGGGACACCTATTTCATGGGTGCCGGCTATCAAATAAACGTTCCGGCCTTGATGATTCAGTCGTCTGGTCGCTTGACCAGAGCTATGGAGATATATGCTTTGGGTGATATGCGGCCACATTGCAAGTCGGCCTTATGTTTCTGTTGGATTCGACAATTAAAAAGATCCTGGACGGGTACCGCCTTGGATATGGTATCTATCATCCAATTCTTGGGTTAATATTTTAGGATTTGTAGCCGCTTGTAGGATGCAAGACGTTTTGCCTACCTTTGAGGCCTTCACCCATATGCATTACCTAAGCAAAGCTCTCGCATCAGCCGGCCATGGGTGGTTCACCTTGTCATGTAATAAAGGTTACATGATGACTTTGGGGAAAGAAAACAAATGGAAG